AAGTGAGCAAGATTACGGGCCTTTTAATTAATTATCTCACAACTGAGGATAGAGAAGAACGATGTTACCGGCAATCCGACGCTGTCGTGACCAAGATTTATCAAGGGGAATATGAAATTTCAAAAACAACTAGACTATAAAATGATGCCTTGAGTGATCACTTCAAAAAGGCATGGAAACCCAGGCCATACGACGTCGGCTTTGAACTCTGGAAATGCATGGTTCTAAGCTCAAAAAACAAGTTCGTCTTAACCAAGAACTCCGTTGAGAGCAAGGAATTAACCCTTTGTTGCTTTGGCACAACCAGTTGAGAAACGAATGAGTCAACGTCGCCAATAATAGAGATAACAGGGTATTCTGGTCTGATTATTCCAGAATGATTTGGCTATGCTGTCTGAGGAGAGTGCCAATTGTGGTTGAACTTCGGTTTTGCACAACACATGATAGATGACTGTCGAGCATCATAATCAGCACAGGGTGTAACCCTGATTTAGATTTCGAAAAAGATATTAATTCATCTGTTACGTCTTCCTCCTTTGAATTATGCAATTAGAATATTGTGCTAGCATCAGATTTGCCTTTTCGATAGCGTCATTAAATTTTAATAACTCCCCTTTGGCATTTCACTGAGATTAAGGAAGCCATTAAGCAGATAACTCGATTTGATGCAGGTCAAAAATGTACAAAGTAAAATAGGTAATTGCAGTACTTCAAGATTTATTTCAACCAATGTCATGACCAGAAGATTAACGATGAAAAAATCAATTACCGGAATCCATGAACGAAGTAACCTGTTGATAAGGGTTGTAACCCCTTTCGAGAGGTCCTTCCCAGGTCGATGACTCATTTACTAGTAATCATTAGCCGAAGTACAGGAAAGTACAATGTTGGTTCATTTTCGTTACCATGACCTATTCTTTCCCATTTCCAAAGCCAACCTTGCTTTGAAGTCTCAAAAATTTGGTGACAGAAAAATCGTCTGTAAAGTTCAGTTAACGTGAGTGTGCTATCCGTAGCTGATGCAGTAACCGTTATCATTTGTCTCGAGCTTGAAGCAGTGCATGAATAAAGAAACGGACATCGCGGTTAGCAGATTTTTTCACACGTATATGTAATATATGTTGCTAGTATAAAACTAATATGTGGCTAATGTATTAAAATTTCCCAGCGCCAGAAACGAAAGGTTTACAATCAGTGCCTGCTTCCAGTGTCAAAGTATGAATGCAAGCCGTGGACCATAATAGAGAAAGCCGCTCACCAGCCACAAACTCTGTAGCCCAGCTTCGAAATTTGTATGGTAGAAACAACAAGAATAAATGCCTAGAAGAACGAGTGAAAAAGAGGTGATCTACGGTGGTGTTATTGCCAACGATTTGAAATGGAAGCTGGCAGGTCACATAGCAAGAAGATGCTCGTTGGCCCAAAGAGGCGTTAAAATGAGTTGCATGAGGCAGTAAATGGCCCCTTGGAAGGCCTCCAGATCGATGGCACCATGAGCTCAGGAAATTTTTCTGAACAAAGTGGATGAGAGACGTGAGTGACAGAACTTCGTCTCAAAGACCTGCAGCGACTTCCATGCTGTAGTAATCGAAAAAGGCTGATGATGATGTATGTATTGACGTACATGAGTCTCCAGTTATCAAACGATCAATCAAAAACGCTTACTGCGTCAATTAAAGCACGTAAATCAGACATCGACTAATATATCAGTTTTACTTTTTGAGTCACGATAATGGCGGACTTGAATGCACGTCGAAGCGTAAAGCAAGACATGAGAAGACGCAAGAGCGAAGAGCGAATTCGGATTCCGGCAATCCCAATAATAATCGTTGGAAGATGCATCAGTCAGCAGTAATATGTCGTACTCCTAGGGTATTCTCATTGGTCAGCTTCTCTTTCATTTATTCATTTTTTAAATCTGCCTTTCGTTCAATTAGCAGGAGCAGGAGTTTCCGGGGTTTCTTAAATAGGCATTGGCCTTTGACAGTAAGATTTTAATTAAAAATTACTCAACCTTTATTTAAGTTAAATAAGCGCTTTTTACAGACTACATGGTAGTTGAGGACGGAATCGTATTGTCACTGTTGTTGAAGCATGAGCGCGATCAGCGACGAACCTGAAATTCAGATTAGTATGGCATCTGTACGATAGATTATCGTTGGGACAGGAGCTCAGGTTACTAGGCTTGACTGATTCTCGTTAGTTATTACTTAGAATCGCTTTGTTTGCGATAACGCCCGCTAGATTTTGTGCCCCTCTGAGATGTCGAAAAACAGCTTTGACACAGACTTTATCGATCTAGCAGAAAATAGGTTCACCCATGAAACGATGCGATAGGCTACCTGCAACGGCAGCCAACGGGCAGTTTGTGCAACTCACTCTTCGGCCAACACGAATGAGTTATATGGATTTGGTATACATTACTGAAGTATGCTTAGATATGAACCAATACACGCTAAGATACTAAAATTCTAGCGCTCTGTGAGCTGTCAATTATAAACCTCTGGCCTGTAGGCACTTATTACAGTACTCAAAATTGTACATCGTTTGTGATATGCATAGCGTTTGCTGTTGTTGTTCTTGATGAAGCTAAATGGGCATGAACTAGCGAAGATATATGATGTTTTTCGTGTCACTCATCGCCAAGGTCTTCAACTGCTCTACTCGACATATGTTCTATTTGACATTCAGAGATGTCGCAAATTTGCTAAATAAAATTTACTTGCAGAATAAGTCAAAACTCCTTGACTAATTTTGCAATGAAGCATAGGCAAAAATAATTCAGGTGATTGTTTTGTATAAATATGCCTGCAGATGGTGGCACATTTGCAGGTGTCTAAATATGCCTTTGTTCCTTCCTGCCAAGTGCTGCGGTTTGGCATCCATGCACTGCAGGTACTTAAATGGCATGGAGCTGTGGGCTGCTCACATGGTCCCCTAGTCTGCTAGAAGCAAGGGCCGGTGCTTACGCAGCTTCAATCATGTATAAAAATCTGAAAAGGGTTGTGATCATTTTGAAACGGTCATACTCCGTGAGGTATTTACTCAGCGCACTCGCGATAATTGTGGTTGCTTCTTACTCTGCCTTCTTCACAACAAATTAAGACGAAACATCTTAGTGCAGCCATCGTAAAGGCCTCAAATATACATAGCTTGATCTGAATTCTGTCCATGTCACAGACCAATGAAAATGAGTAATATTTTGAAACGCCCCTTCATGTATGAGACAAAATATTCAGCGCCGCAGGTTCAATTGTTCCAGTGTTTCGAAATTCACTGGCTTCGTTGTTCCAGTGCAAATAATTTATACAGTAGGCATAGTATCTCAAGTCAAGCCGGAATCAGACGAGT